CTGATAAAATACAGGCAAACAGTAACAGTATAGAAGAGTTCAGAACAGGACATTAAGACTATCAAAGTAAAATTAAACCTGGAATGAAAAGTTCAAGGCGATAAAATTACAGACATCTGGCATTTTGTATTTGTTTTCTGATGTGTTTTGAAGGAGAAAAATAGGCGCTCTGTGCTAGTATTGGGTATTAATCTATGCTTTAGCAAAACACGTATGGATGCAAGGCTTGCCTACCTTTTTGGTTTTCAGATTGCTGCTGTTAAACTTAGTATAGTCTTCTTCTGCTTCCACGGGGACATCTGATAATTTCCTTTTCTGAAATGTTAGAGTGAGGAAGTTGCTCTGTCAGCCGCTTTTATGCTGTACACACATGGAAGTTTAAAGCTTTGGCTTTATAACGTGACCATAGCACCAAAATAGGACTGACAATGAACTGAAAAATCTGCAGTAACAGTGGAAGATTCCTCTTTGTAATTGTCTTCTTTACACATATATACCATCTCTACATTACTCAGAGGAGATCATTCAGTGTCATGGGAAGCATTTTCTTCTTCCTAGCCTTCTGAAGAACGACTTCTAGAAATCACTTGAATCCTGTTTTTAACTTCCATGATTGTGACTTTGGTGTCAGAGAGTACTTAGAGAATCTTTACGGAGCAGCTGTTGGAAGTTAGTGTCTAACAGCCAGGGACCCAAGACTCTGGTCCCCACGGTCTCATGGAACTGTGCAGCAACTCCGGGGTTACTGCTGCCTGCCAACACAAGTGGATCATCATCTAGTCTATTATCTGTCTGTGCACAACCTTTCGAAGTAATTAGTTTCTACAGTTTGGCAACAGTGAAGCACTGACATAGTTCTGCCGACTGCTTCACCACTTGAATCCAACAGTATATTAAGAAGCTTGACTCTGCATGTGCTGGGTGCTTTCTAACTTCAGAAATAATGGAAGCGAACAGTTCTCGCCACTTCACATGATCAGGCCATAAGAATGAGTATTTCTTTCCATAAACTGTGAGCCTGTGTTTAGTTTAAAGGTGAAAACTTCCTGGTATGTTTCCAAAAGGGGGAAAAAAAGTATATAGTATTTTACAACACTGTATTTTTATTATTATTATATATCTGATATTACTACCCTGTCCTTAATATCCTGTGAAATCTAAACTGTGGCCTTCCTAGTTTCTATGCCAAAGAGAGTGATTTTGCAAGTGACTTGGATGGTACCATACATTTTAAGATCCTGTTTTATTCATTTTGTTTATGGTGCTTGTGATCTCTCCCTCTCTCCCCCCCGCCGCCTCCCTCTCTCTCTTTGGCACAGAAGCCAGGTCTGCAGCTTAGATTTCTCAGCTCTTAGAACCAGATCCAACAGCAGCCTTTTCTTTTGATTTCAATGGGATCTGGATTAGCCTCTCTAGGAGGCTGTTTACTGTGCTGTGATTATATTTTCAAATGACAATCTAATGAATAATTACTATTCTCCTCTTTTTGGAACCTGATAAACAAGTTTTTAAAACTTACAACAAAATGTTTGCATTTCAGCAAAACATTCGCTGTCTGGTTGTAGCAGAGCCTACATACTCTCTGTCCACGTCTGTTGTCATCTGCCAACGGCCAGGCTCCCTATGCTGACAAACCGGACAGCATGACAATCACACCACAGGATCAATGGCTTACAATTAACATAAAGAACATGTAATTTTGATTTAATCATTAAATGACAGAGTCCAGACTGGACCCAGTTTGCTGGGTTGTACGACAAGATGGAGAATCTGTCATAGCTTTTATGTTAACCACTGAAGTTTCTAAATCTCTCCTCTCTTCGGGATTTATTTTAACATCATTTCTAAACATGCAATTAACTTTACCATAATACGAAATACGTATCAGACCTTTATCTACAATACTCCTATACTATGTCTGTCAAGAGACTTTCCCCTCGTGAAGAGAAACGTCAATGCAAGCAAATAAAAATGGTTTGAAGGAGACTAGAGGTTCCAGTTTACAAGCCTGCCTTGCTCCTCTGAGATTGTGAAATAAAGGAGTGTTTTAATCTCTGAAGTTGCAGACTTAAACACAGAAGCATCATACACACCCTGGTCAGTGCTCTGGATATTAATCAGATCCTCGGCAAGATTTCACTGCCCAACAACTGAACAGTTCTAAGCCTCATTTCCTCTGTAACCAAACTGCTGAAATAAAACTATTTTTAAAAATAGATTCTCAGAACTATCCCAATGGTATAAAAGCTATTCGTACATAATATGTAATGTAGATCACATGTAGTTTAATATAGTTGTTGTAACATGCTTATATGGCTAATGAATATCAGTTGGCTCCTGACGTGTATTTAATATTTCTTACAATGCATAAAGATAATTCTTAACTGAATCAAAGGGCCAAGTAACTGTGCAGCCAGAACAACTGTCCAACCACATGGAAATAACTTATATCCATGGATATACATTGGAGAACAAATGCTATTAATAACAGTAGGGCCCAATTATTCCTGCATGTGCTAGCTGACATACTGCTTCACAGAACAGTCACTGAACCAGCCAGAAATGAGGTTATTTTAGACTTTGTTTCGGGAAGTAGCAGGGACACTGCAGGAAAGGTCGGTGTAGGGTAACCTAGTTTCAGTAGACAAAGGGTGCCTCAGTTTAAATTAAATAGAAAGGATAATCAGAAATTGGGTTCTTAATCCTAAAGGGGCAAACTTTGTAAACCATATGCCTTACTTCTCTAAGCCAAAGCAAAGGGACTTAGAATGTAAAAGAAAGAGGTGGAAGTAGTGATTCTGATTCTGGATCTTTTATTTCAAACAAGGTGAAAAATCCTGAAGTAAAGAGCTTCTCAGACTAAACTCTATGAATGCTCCCCCTTGCTCACACAGATGCACACATATTTCCTTCCCCCCTCGCCCCGCCAGCCAATGCTAGGAATAAGCAGAATTCTACAATGAGCAATGATTCTACAATGCCAAAAAAAAAATAAATGGTTATAGGGGTCAGGTAATACCGGGATAAAGTGAGAACTGCCAAAAAGTCAGGCTGAGTTAGACCTTGGAAAGGAAATTAAAATAAATAGTAGAAGGTTGTTTAGCCACAGAGGCAAAAAGGGAATCAATAAAGAAAAAGTGAAGCTGCTATACAGTAAGGATTGAATAGATATTAAAGTTAATCTATGCATAGCCCCAAAATGGAATAAATCCTTTGCCTAAGTAAATTGTTTTCAATAAAGATGAAGAGGTTAAACACAGGGGCAGAAAAAAAAGTATAGAAATCACTCTATTCAAGATAGAAGTACAACTCAATATGCCAACACTGTTGAGAGACTGCCTCAGAAATCACATGTCCAGAGGCAAAGCCTGGCAACTGCTCTGCCAGGCAGGGACCATGTTGCTGCAGAATAGCCAAACACCCATCTATACGTGAGGAGGAGGAAAAAGCAACAGTATGCCTCAGCAGAATGGAGGGGGCAGAAAAAGTGAAAGATGGAAGAACAGTCAAAGGTATAGAGGAAATGAAAACTAAACATAGGTAATGTCTACCAACTTATTGTTTTTTCTCAAAGATTACACATTTTCTGGTGACAGAAAATGTGAAGGACTGCCAGTGGACTTGACGTGGTGCCACTTAAGCAATCGAAATTATAGAAAACAAAGACTGCATAAGAATTTTAAGGTAGGTAAGAAACTGGGTAAAAGGGAAACAAAGGCAAATAATGCAGAAAGGGATGTCACTGGATCAGACGGAGATTAGTTGTGGAGTGCCATGAACAATGGCTATTCAAAATATGTATTAATTGTTAATTAAAGACACTAGCACGATAACATTTGCTTAATGAACACCACTGAGCAGCATTATGAATACCTAAAGAGCTTTTAACACTGTGGAGAAAAAGCCAGAGACTCTTCAAGACTGGAAAGATTAAAAATGGATGAAATGTACAGAAGTACAAGGTCAGGTACACAGCAGCTAACTGCATGAATTTCTCATAGATCAACTAAAAACTACAGTGGAATAAAAACCCAAACAACTGTGTGTTTTAACTGTTCACAGCATGACTCTGAGCTATCTGGTACATCATACAATAAGACAGGCAAATGAGATTCTGAGATGTAGTGAGATAAAGTACGTCCAGTTCAGATCAGAAGGGAAGAATGCCATCATATTGTATTGGTAAAGGTTTTATCTTGAGTAATTAAATATGATTCTGGTCACCTGCTTTGAAACAATTGAATTCATCTTGTAATAGGTGTAAAGAAATGTTCCTGCAATGATGAGGCAATGGAGTATCCATCTCACACAACTAAGTTTGGCTTCACAAAATGAAAACACAAAGGATATCTGTTTTCCCTTTATACATTGAAAGGACTAATGTCAGGGAGGGAAAAGAGCCATTTCAATTAAAAAAAAACAACGATAATGTTAGCACAAAAGCACAGGGGATTAAACTGGCCATGAATAAATTCAAGGTGGAATTTACAGGAAGGTTTCTGAGCATCAGAGGAATGAGGTTATAAAACAGGCTTCCAAGAGAAGTAATGGAATTAAAAAATCCTAATGAGACTTACACTGAAGAATGGTCAGTGTATGAGAGATTACCCAACATGGTTGTCTAGGAATCCATGACCCAGGAGGTCCCTTTCAGGGTCCTCATAAATTACATATGAAAGGAAACCTATGAGGTCATATTGTCCCATCAACCTCAATAAAACTAAATAAGCAAAACACATACGAAAAGACTGCTGAGCAAAAAAATAAAATGTCTCCCTTTTCCCCTCCTCCTTTTTAAACAGCAAAACCAACCAAAATATTCCTTATCAAAAAATATGAAGTATCTGGTAAACTTCTTGGGTTATTTCAGACTGGCTTTTTACAAGGCCAACTTACTTACTGTATTGTACTCAGTGCTAGGCCTAGCCTAGTTTAAAAAATAATTCAGAGAAATTATCTTACAACATGAGGTATCTGTCAATATCTTAATGTTCTCCTACCTTCAGTGGTGGCTCTGGCACCGGGCTTTTAAGTTCTGGAAGCCTGTAGAACAAAAGATTTTAAGTTATACATTAAGACAGCCGGATTGCACAATCCAAAGCTTACAATTCCTTCCCCACAAAGGCTGCTTTGGTCATCAGCTGCTCACACAAGGCACGCGTTTGCAAAAAAAGCAGCTCATGGATTCTGAATTTCTGACTTGGATAACTAAAACAGAGCCAGGCTCTGTACCGAAACATGGACTCTTTTAAAAGTTCTTAGATCTGGCAACCAAAACAGGAGAACTCCACTTTACTTTTTAAAATCTTGTCTATTAGTAAGGTGATATTATAAAGCACATAACACCTCTTCAATGAAACTGTTAAGCTGTGGGGCTGCAAGTTGCCCATTTTTCCACAGGCCGCCGTAACAGAACCTTCTGAACAGAACTGAATTGAAGGGCAGGCACAGGGCCCTAGCGATGCCGCAAGCAAAGTCTGCTGCTGGCAGGGAACACCAGGATGAAGCTGCTGGCTCACCTTCCAGATTTAAATATAAGCTAACACAGGTTAGATATGTGAAGTCAAACCCCAGCAGCACCGAGTGAGTAGGGAAAAGAGGACTGGGGATGAGGATTCTAATCCTGGCTCTGCTGTTTGTGTTTGACAATTCTGGACAAATTGTTTTAACTCTTTGGATTTCCTTCCCTGCCTTACTTTAAAATGGGATACATTGCTCGGGGTTTGTCCTGGTTTCAGCTGGGATAGAGTTAATTTTCTTCCTAGTCACTGGCACAGTGCTGTGGTTTGGATTTAGTATGGGAATAATGTCGATAACACACTCGTGTTTTAATTGTTGCTAAGTAGCGCTTATCCTAAGTTAAGGATTTCTCAGTCTCCCATGCTCTGGCAGTGAGCAGGTGCACAAGAAGCTGGGAGGGAGCATGGCCAGGACAGCCAACCTGAACGAGCCAAAGGGCTATTCCATACCATAGAACATCATGCTCAGCATATAACCCTGGGGGGAGTTGGCCGGGAGCGGTGGGTCGCTGCTCAGGCATCTGTCAGCAGGTGGTGAGCAACTGCATTGTGCATCACTTGTCTTTTCTTGGGTTTCATTTCTCTCTCTCTTTTTTCTATATTAAATTTCATTACTAGTATTAATTTTATTTTAGTCATTAAACTGTTCTTATCTCAACCCATGAGTTTTACTTTTTTTTTTTTTCAGATTCTCCTCCCCATCTCACGGGGAGGGGGATGAGTAAGCAAGCAACTGCATGGTGCTTAGTTGCCGGCTGGGGTTAAACCATGACAGGGTTTCATGATGCAACTGGGATAACAGACATATCTGACCTCTGTATTACATCTCTCCTCCAGCCCATGGTCCTTAGCATCATAGGAACTACTGAAAGGCACAATCTACATTTGAAAAAATCACAGTTTAAGTGTGGCAAATATGATCTCATTGTATCACTCACTGCAACCTCGATGAACAAATCTCAGTATTCAACAGAAATGAGCAAAAGGACATTAATGCATGCCATATAAAACTAGCCACTAGCTGGAACAGTACTTACCCTAAGTATTTTAACAACTCCTTACTCAGATCTTCAGGAATATATTCTGATATTAACCCATGGGCATACCGTAGATAGTCTTCAGGAACAGGGCAGGGGGTGGGAAGGAGAAGAGAAAGAACATTCACATTATACAGTCACGCTGCCTTAGCCACGTTGCACGTGCTACCATAAATCATAATGTTGAATTAATAGTAAGAGACTTCTAATGGATACACTGTGATGGTTCTCTGTGCTGAGTAGTTTATGTTACATGACACTTGTAGGTTTATTTAAAAAGTAAAGACTTACTACGCTCACTTTGTCAGCACATGTTATTAATATCTGCTGTACATACTTCACAAAAGCTGTTTGCTTTCTGAGAATACTAGATACCATGTATTTTTCCGAAGAAATTAAATTTTAAAAACCTGCAAAAGTAAAAAGCTGACTCAACAGAACACACAATCATTAATTTTAAAGCATCTGGATCTTACAATTATTTGGCAAGGGCTTCAGTACTAAAGTACATTTTCTGGCTTCAACTGAAAACAATTAGATGAGACAATGAGTCTATTTCAAAGTCTTGTACTTAATTTCAGTACTTTACAGAAAATGCCAAGGCCTATCTAAACATCACTGGCAAGAGGGGATAATTATCTGTGGAAATATGAACTACTAGAAGCTGTTTTCAGTACAGGGCACTCCTGCTACAAACGTTTTTCTGAGAGACTAGGAAAAAAAGAATGACCTTTTTATAACATGAAGTCCTAAACCAGATCTTTTCCGGTCATGTGCTATGCAAGTACATACTGATCACAGGCTGGATCTTTTAAATTTGCTGTTGTTGGGGTTGCTAAGGAGTAACTGCGCCCATGCACAGGAAGTATTTGCCAGACAGGCATTAAGCTAAAATCTCACCTCTGAATTCCATCTACAACAGGCCAGCTCTATCTGTTCCTATGCCTACACACTTAAAGAGTTCAAAAGCACATGGTAAACTAGCCTCAGGGTGGTAGAGAACTATTTCTTCTGGGCCAGAGATAGTTGGTTTGGTTTTTTTTTTTTTATTAATCTAAAAAGCCCAATGCAAACTGGCATTGAGGCAGGAAAGCATTAACAAACTGACACCAACATATGCATTTCCACCTTACTGGCATCAAATTTTTAGCGTCTCCTTACTGCACTTCTTCCTCCACCGCCTGGACTCATCAAGGATTTGCCACTCCCTAAGCCCATAGGGTCAGGAGAGAAAAAGAAACAATTCCAATCCAAGACAATTTCACCTCAGCACTTAATATGTCCAATGTATTGCTTAAGAAAAATATTCCCATCGTTTCACTCCTTGCATATGACACTGAATGGTGAGCCCAAGTCAACTGCTATTATTTTGTACTAAATATAAAATCCATTCCCTTTGCATTTTTGCCTTGAAGCAATCTTCACTGAGTTCCTTTACCAATTTGAAAATACCACTGTTTGCCTTCGAGGGAGTCTGTGTTCTCACCTTAGCTTTGCTTTGTTATTAACCTCCTGTCAAACACCAGGAATACTTGCGCACCTCCCTTCTTTGTCTTCTGAATGAAATATTCAGGTCTCACATGTTACACCTCCTCTCCTTCCCCATTTGCACCCATTACATCTTCCTAGGTTTTTGCCCTGCAACATCTGTAGAAGCTAACTACATATACCCAGCTATTCATAAGGCACAGAAATTTCATAATACCCTTATGAAAGCAATTCTCTACAGAAATAAATTGCACTGTCATGGCAGTGAAAGGATCAGACAAGAAAATTAGTCTTATTAAAAATAAGTGTTGAGTAAGGTCCATTTGACTTCCTGTCATTCACCTTGCTACATACAGTGGGATTGCCTCCAAAACTTATCTACTTTTAGCCCCCAATATTCTCTATTTTAATGCTGTTCTTTTAAATCTAAAAAAGGCTTCTGAAAAAACTATTATATCCATGTTACTGTAAGTAAGGAGGAAGGTGGAAAAAACAGTGCAGATGAGCTATTTTATTACAAATTTCAGATAAAGTATTTAAGCATGGTCAAGATGGTTACTGTCAGGACGACTTTCCCTTTCTTTAAAAAAATGGGAGTGGGGAAAAAGATGAAAAGCTACTGTAAAGTTGAAGTCACTTACAAGTTTTGCAGCTTTGCCTCTTTTTAAAAGCCATATATTACAATCTCTGTTCTATAAAAATGTCTAGTTGCCTCTTAAATCTCATTTATGTTGTTTCCTTTGATATCATTGCTTGGTAACTCATTTTCCACTTCGTCAGCAAGTTGCTTTGTTTCCCCTTAGTTTTCAGCAGCATGCAGACTTCTGAATGTCTTTGTAACGCGAAACAATTTGCTTTTGTCCATCTTGTTCGAAAGTTTTCTTAATTTTCATTAACAGTCAAAGAATTTATTCCGAGTCCATTTTCAGGTTTCTCTCCACACCTTCATATCCCAGTTAATGTTCAAGGCATTGTCCTCCCCAGGGAAAAGGTGACTAGAAGAAACCAGGATCACTCCAGACTTTTTGGTACCAGGACTGTCAATTTCAGGGCAATTTAATACATATATATTATTTTTTTCCCCCACAATAAGCACACACCTGTGCATTCTATACATTTGTTATATAAAGTAATGTTTGGACCGGGAGCTTTTACTCTGTGACTATGACTCCCTAAGACCCCTTCCCTTTCCTGAGAATTCTGTGAAAAGCATTTGCATGCTAATAAAAATAGCAATTAAAAAGAAGTCTGTTCTAACACAAAGACACTTACTGGGTGAACACTTACATATTATAAGTGTGTGTCCTATTGTCCAAGACAGCTTCAGTTCAGCAAAGCACTTCAGCATGTATTTCACTGAGAAAAACATCTCCTTGAACTAAGGAGAAGCTAAAAGAACCTCAGCTAAGCTCTACTGTTAATTACAATGTCATCTGATGAAGATACCAAAGAACTCAGAAAAGTCAAGGCACACAGACACAACATATGTGGAATTTTCTGTACAAGGAATAAATTTACTGCAAAGGCCAATTTCAATACATTTTAGATTCTAATCATGTGTTTTATCTTCACGTATGCAATTTCACAAAAATAGAATTCTTCACAATGCTTAGTTTTCTTACCTTCTTTAGAGTCTGTGATCTGTTTACTGCTGATAAATGTAGCTGCACGTACCCTTTCACCTACAGATATATTGTTGCTTTTAAGTGCTTTCACTGTTTGATTGACCTATAGGAAACCACAGAATGAAATGTCTGTATCAGTGTTGTTATGCACATGTTAATGCAGTGACAAAGCTCTTGTAATTTTGTTTCAAGCATATAAAACACTCAAGTTATGGACTGTGGTGAAATTTAATACACATTTGTAATGACTAGCATATGAGCTCAGAAAACCCAAAGCAACTAGCATGTCTTTGAACATGTTGCCTTGGCAACACAGTACCAGTTTTGCAGCACCCTAAGATGAGCAGAGCTACTCAGATGCAAGAGCCATGATTACCCAGGTGAGAAACACACCTGCGCAGAGAACAGAGAGTTGCCTAAAACTCAGCTGGACTGCAAAGGCAGTCCTGCTGGAAATCAAACATTAAGGGCTTTAAAGGGCACTGCCATATGGGATCTAACAGAGATAACTAGCAGAAGAAGATATTTTCAACAACACAAACAGGTACCTGTTCAAATGTAAATATCTGGGTATGCATTTGCAAAACAGACACCCCCATGCCTCATCACTGCAGGAAGGATACCAGATCTTGTGCTTGTGCTGACTCATTTAAATGATAAAGCTTCCCCCTATCGCGTGATGCAGACCATCTTTTTCCACAAAGTGGCATCACAGCGGAGGTACACGTGTGTATGTAAAATGAGATTTGCCTTCATTATAACAAAACACAGACCACATCAAGCTTAGCTGTACCTCTAGTTTATTTTCTGCATACTGGACAGACCTCCTGAACAGCATGATTGGATCAAGACAGCAGCAACCACCCCAGAACCGTTCTGAGAGGCTCTGCCAAAACTTCACGAGGAAGCCCATTTGCAGCAAAACCAAGGCATTTCTGCCCAGCTTTAAAGCACGGCAGGATTTAAAAGTTGCAGCAGTCAAAGCTCTCCTCTAGCCCACATGTGAAGTGGACGAAGCAAAAAAAAAAGCCCCTCACTTTAGGCAAAGCCTACAGAACACTGTGATAAGCTGAACTCCACCTTCCTCTTCTGCCTCCCCACACACTCCTCCATGAATCCCTTTAATGCCAGCCCCTTCAGAAAGAGAAACATAACAAATGTGTAATTTCTCTAATATCTCATCGTATTTCCAAGTGCAAGAACTTTACTGTGATGTATGTCCTTGGACAGGACACGTACCTTGAACTGAGGCACACCACATGGCTCAAATGCAAATATGGACAAGCTAATAAGCATTTTCATTTTAAACATAAAGCAATTCTGAAAGCAAAAGAGAAACACAATACCTTTATCTTTAACCACTTCAGTGTCTTCTCTTGGCTGTATTTGTGGAATTTCTGACTGCCAATCTCTGAGAAAAAAACAAGGAAGGGGAAGAAAGTCATGACAGGTTTAGATTGCATTTTCAAGGCATTTAAAAGCTTTGAAGTTGTAGATACAGCATGAAAGTTAATTTGCGGCTTGCACATGTTTGGTATCAGGGCAGTAAGTTTCAAAAATATTGGAAACGTGGAAAAATAAACAGACTGAGCTGATAGGCACAAGTCTGAACAAGTTGACAATTCCTTAATTAGGCCCTAATCCAGAAAAGCACATATTTTATTTATTTATTTATGTGTAATTTTGGGCTGCCTGAATTCACTAAGACTCTTCTCAAGCCCTTGTAGTTTGCCAAACCTTCACTGCTCTGTGCCACCAGACTGGTGATTTTAACTACGCAGTTCACAACACAAAATGTTGGTTCCACTGGGGTTTTTTTAAGCATAGTATCTTAAATCTTTAGTTACTGAATTCCAGCACCTCGTAAGGGGCCAGGACAGAGTGCTGGTTAGTGAAGACAAACTGTTCACCCTTTCAGTAAACCCTTTTCCTATCAGTTCACCCAGTTCTGCCCTCTCACTCCACAGGGTGACTAAAGCAAAAGTTTTACTTCTATCCTCCTTTTACGTAGTGTCAAAAGAAAATTATTATACAGTGTCAGAAGACAATACAGAACTCAAAACAGTGAAACACACTCCTTGCGGGAGGAAGCACATGATTTGTTTATGATTTATTGAACAACATAAATTAACTCGATATAAGAATTTCAGAAAGTGTTTCCCCTGTGATAACCAGGGTATCATGAACACTTGCTATTCACACGCGATCAGTTATCTGGAGATGTAAGTGCATGATGCTGAGGCAGAGGAGAGAAAATTACAAAGGCTCATGGAAATTTCAGTATAAAAATTCAGTATCAATCCACAGAAAGCTGCATTTTAGAAATGGAATGAAATGCCTAATAAGATTTCACAGGAGATTTGAGAGGCCACTGTGTTTCACTCTTCTTCTTTAAGAGGTATTTTAATAAGTTTTAATCTCCTGTATATCATTCCCATAAATACCTACATCTGTTTCATGTCATTTACTGATCCAGTATCATATTCCAACACTCGGTTCATGGAGTTTCTTTCTCCCCTTGCAAACAACAACACATTATTTATGATTCCTTCAGCACTTCCTTCTTTGGGGTTTATCTTGGCTCTTTCAAACTGAATCCAAATAGCTAACTATTATGTGCTCCTTGTGTATGCATGGTAGGGGGTATGGAGAGGTCGAGGAAAGCTGTTTGCAGATAAAGTTTAAATCTATCTCAACAGCCGTAGAAGAGTAAAATGCAAAAATTCTTCAGAGCAAAAAGGAAAAAAAACACCATTATACACTTTGCTTCATGAAGTTGATGAGTTGCAGGTAAAGTGATCAGCTGTGACACTGCTGGCTGCAGCCTTTAGGACTTAGAAGCTTCTAAATGGCTCTGAAAGAAAAGAAGCAGAAAATGGGGGGAGATGCTCTGGACACTTGAACCTGCCTCTCAAAGAGCTAGCATGGTTTGGGTCTAAGTACAGTATGATTCGTGGATTCGTCTCTTATCTAAGAAAGTTCGAGGAAGGGACATCCTTTGGCCACCATCCCCCAACCCATGCTGAAAAGTAATTCTAGTCTGGATTCCCAGGCAGACTCCCCCACAACAGTATGATTCAGAGTGACTCAGTTAGGGAAAGGAAACACAGAACTGTGAAGCCATTTTCATTAAAACATGTGAAAAATAATTACACTGAACCCTTCAGAGATCACTTTGTTTGAAAATATTTTGTGTGCTTGACAGTTTTGACTATTAAACTCTAGAAACTGACAATATTTGAGATCTCTGAAGAATTAAAGTGAGTTATGAAAGTCACAAACTGCTGACAAAAGGATTCAATATTGGAACGTGGATTTAACATGTGATGCACATTTGATATTGGTGAGAGTTAGCGACTATGTTTGATAATATGAGTATATATTGGAAAGCCTTTTGTTCCCTAATGTGTCTGGTGCCTATAAAACTGGTCTGAGACATCTGGAAAGATTGGGTTTGAGAAATACAGATGGAATATAAGTGGTTCTACAATTAAATAATATGTTCAGCGATCGGGTAATCGCTATGTAGACTTGGAAGTTTCCCTGATGTATTGTTGAGCAAACTGCCTAAAGCACATTTTAACATCCATTTTCTCAGTGTTTTCCATAACTCTGAAACTCATATGGCCCCTTTTTTCCTACCTTCTGGGAATACAAGCTTGGCAATATTACTTAGTTATTCTAATCAGGTAAGTTTTCTTGGCTCTTCATGTTAATCACATCAGACAAGATCACAGTGCAGTTTTTGCCTTGCAAAATGAAACAGAGTAACACTCTAGAACTGGAATTCATAACCCTTTCTTAAACTTTCTCTATTGTACGTTCTATTTGACGTTTGAATTTATTTAGCAAACAACCTGCCTCACCCAGATTCAGTGAGCTGTAACGCACCCTTTCTCCAACTACTCGAGCAGGTAACCAGGAATTTAATCCAGCAAAATTAATTTTCAGTGCCCTTCAACACTGAGGCCAAGGAAGGTGGACTTTCTGCTAATTTAGTAAGTGTAAACTGTAAGTGTTCTACAGTAAGATTTTGTTAGATGTTAAGTGCCTTAAGATTAAGAGTGAAATAATTATGTTGTTAGGTTCTGCCAAACAGATCAGAGCTGCAGAAGACTCAATACAGCAGATACTTCTTGCCCTAATTCCCTGCTCCTTAAACGAGAAAGGCTACGAAGTGGACAATGGGTCTTAGAGTTAGAAAAGAGTACCTCAGTCATAATATTGGTATTTTTTACAGACAATAAAAGACATGAGAATATGAAACACATAGAAGTGGATTGAACAGAAAGGTGATCTGTGCATGACAGGCAAGCAAGTGCCAAGGTGACTGTTGCATAAGAAGACATTTGGTGTTCTAAAAAAAAAAAAGAAAGAAATCCTAAGAACAAGCCCTGCTGTTACTTTCAACCCAACCCAAACCTGAACAAGAAAAGAAACAGCAGGTCCATGCCTAGGGACATCCAAGAACATCACATAGTGCTGGTGTGTACACATGTTTACAGCTTTAACAACAAAAGCAATTCTTACCTTATATTTCAAAACAAAACCCAGGAAGTGAACGTAATTACATAACAGTTACTATAATTTTCTGGCAAAATGACACAAACTTGTAGGTGTACCTAATACATTATTGAAAACATCAATGCAAAAAAAAAAAAACAAAACAGGCAGTGAAGCATCTTCACTACTGTCTAACAATACAGTTTATAAGAGGATGATCTGGTGGATAACAACTGCAAATTCAATTTCAGAATGGATAAAGAAGTTAGACGAAGATATAAGACCTTGTCGACAGAAAATACTTTTTTTTTTAATTAAAATTTTATTTTGCTGCTAAGAAGGGAACATAAATATTGTCCAAAGGCAGCACTGTTATTTGGAAGAAGTGCCCCTTCAGAAGAAGAATCCAGGCCTCGTCCTACACTCCTCCACAGACTTCTTAGTTTTGAGAGCCAAGAGGATCTGGCATGATTTTTCACCTGCTCAGATGGGTGCACAGAAGTTTAGCACCCCTTCTCTCACGCCTAGCTCCTTAGCCAGTGTTAGATAACTGACAGGGCACAGCAATTGCCTAAAAGCTTAATAATAGTTTTTGCTGGAGGTATTTATCACTTCATGGGAAGGCAAAAGCAGTTTTGTGGTTCAGATGCGCCCGTTTTGAAGAAGCCTTCTCAGAAGTCAGAGCTCACCCAAAGGAAAATGTTGTCTGCTCCCAATAATACTGAATGCAACTAAATGACGGTGAATGTTTTTCCAAAGGTTTTTTTGGAAATCCGGGAGTTTATCACAACGACACATAACTGCAACTATCCCAGTCCCAGCAGGAATGTACCAACAGTCTTCGGGCCCAGATTTCCTGCTCTCTTGTTAAAGTGACCCTTTTCAATGGAAACATGTCCTGCCCTAAAAGTCAAATTGATTTTTGGGGGGGAAGCAACCGCCCTACATTAGTGCATATGCACCATATCATACAGGCAATACTTAAACTTGTGCATCTAAACCTTTCAGGAAAAACTCACAGTCCCCCCAGTTCATGTTCTATATAGCAACAGGGGTCTGGTGTTTTACTTCTTAGCAGGCTTTTCATTCTTCCATCACCCTTCCTTAGCCACTTCCCCATTATCTGTAGATCACCTAAATATTTCTTCTTATATATATCAATGAAAAGGGTAGAGTGCTTCGTGAAAGCAAATCCCTAATATTTCTGGCTTTTAATCTGTGTACCTCAACTCCTTGGAGGAGCTCTACATGCATGAGTCAGACAGCTTAGTTGTTTTGCACTTGATGGTAGATTCCATGTTCTCAGACTCCTGTACCTCCTCCTGTAGGTCTCCATCTGTGTGGAGGTAAATCTCCATTCACTATCAGGAAGTCAGCAAGCTGAAGGAGAACGCTCTTTAAATGACTCAATATAAAAACTGAGGTCTTGCATCTTTTGCAGGTCTGCCAAACTGCAAAAATTATTTAATGCTCCTTCCTCTTCACTAGAAAGCATATAGTGTCCTCAAGTAAAAGGCCCCATACCAAAGGGAATTCTGGGCAAAGGTTAAGGAAACTATGCACAGAACTGATACTTTGCTAATTTTTTCCATTTAGATTTTCTCCCTCATACACTTAGGCATCCCAATCAAGTTTTCTATTTTAAAAAATTAAGTCTTTGAACTAAATTGTGCAAAGCTAGAAAATGTGTGCTCTCTTCTCAGCAGCATATTCTCTCATCTCCAGCTTTTTCCTACTTACTGTTTGAATGCTTTGTGGCAAAGGGAAAAAAAAAAGCTAAACGGACAATGGCTAACTTCTTCCACACCAGACCATCCTACACTAAATAAAGAATTGAGAGAGATGTAGAACTTTCATCAAAAGGCAAAGAAAGTTCACAACACATACAATAATGTCAAGAAACCAGATCTGATCGGTTTATCATTTTTATGACACCTAGCAACCAGACTGCACCAGTATTTTGGAGTTATAGCAGATGATCTGAGATCCACACATTACTACTCACAATACTGCAATGACAACTTCTAAGCCTAAGCTTCTGTTTTCAAAGTACAGCTCCATTCAGCAGCTTGGGTGTTTGGTAAAGCAAAAACCAGCATTTAAATCTATCTTGTGATGAAGTGACACAAACAAATCCAGTCTTTTTCTTGCCACCCAGCCCCCTTTTTTTACCTTTTTCTTCTGTTACGTGATGTATGTACTGTTTAACATCTGCACACTTCAGCAGCAATGGGCAGCTAGGGTACTCTGAGTCTAGCACAACTTGATCGAGTGGCTGGAACTTGCCTTGCTGCTGAAAATACATCAAAGGGATTACAAAAGCATTATGATAATGTTAAGAGACATGTACACACTACACATATATAGAAATATATAAGCATACAGTGGCCATAGCTTTAAATAACGGATTTAAAGAAGATCGTATTTTGAATGGTAACACGTGATACATTCAGAAACTGATTACAAAGCAAGCTATAAATATTTATTTCAAGCCAGTAAATACCTGCAAAATGCTGAACTCTTCAATTACTGCACTTAAAAGACCAAATTTAAAACAACAAGGGGAGAAACTAATGTGAAGTACAGCGGGATTTTTTGGAAGATGACATAAGACACAGTAGTCAGTGTGTGCCAATAGTGTTTTAGACCAAAACCTGTTGGATTAAACCCAGTGTCATAACTTCCATTCAAATTTTGCTTTTCCTTCCATAAAGATAAATCTCAAAGGAGCGGGGCAGCTTCTGGAACACAGTATTAACCTTTCACCTCTGCAAAGTCAATTCCAGTTTGGCCAGAGTATGTATATAAAAGTGATTCTGGCACAACTTAAATAGCCCCACACATGACAGAACCATCAAACAAATTTTGCCGTTGCCAAACAATGCATAATCATTCAGCACGGTTTGGCACAGCTGGCAGCCTTCCCTTTGGAAAGATCCTTTAGCGCATCAGTACAAAGACTCGGGGAGCTCTCCATCCTTAGAGAGTGCGTGGTCTCAGGAGCCAAAGCTGAAGTCATTATACTGGTCAGCATGAAAAAAAAAACCCCACTTGGGTATACTGCTTTCATTATTAATTAATCCTCTTGCTAGACAGTCAAAGGCTTAATAACAGTAAACATCCATTGTTAAATCACAATAAAAACAAGCAAACCAAAAAAAAAAAAAACCAAAACCACAAAAAGACCCCAGAAAGGATTTAAAGTTTTTTTCCTCCTCCTGAAAAAGAAAAGGCACAATAACAATGGCAAAAAGCACATTATGAGATGCAGGAACAAAGCTGCAGTAAACTACTTCCTATAGATAACTTACCTACACAAACCTGCTTGTGTCCCAGAGCGAGACAGCCACGTTTACACAGTGCAGGGGCACAGAGCTTAGGCTAAGAAAGCCTGCTGGATAGGAGATGGCTCTGCTCAGATGACATATTAAGCATCCCTGCATTACACTGACAAAACCAAAGGGTGCAAAGAATGATCTTAAGATACCCAGCGGGTGCCTTGATACTCAGTTCAAGCCCGAAATGACTGTGCTGCATTCAAGCTGGCCTTGCACAAGGTACCTGCAACACAATCCTCAAGACTTGCCTTTACTGGAGAATACGCTACCTTAGGCAGGGCACCGCAGGAATGCGTCTGCCCTGATTCAGGACCCAGAACAGGTCTATGCATTCACCTGACATCTGGCTTAGAAAACCAGAAAACCTAGAAAACAAGTCTAACAAGAAAGCAAAGGGCAGTACAGGACTCCTCCCGTGCACAGAAACAGCAGCAGTAGCTGTCCTTTACTCAGGCTACCTCAACACTTCACCACGTTGACAGAGGAGATTTACTGTTTCCCTAATTTAAGTTTGGTATAAAGCTTCCAAAGGGATGCTGAGTCAGAGCACAGTGCCTAGAGAACAAGCTAAACTCTTCCCTGGGAAATGACTTCTTCTGAAGGGCCGCCCTGAAGCAGCAACAGACCACAGAAATACGGAATATGTTTGCACATCTTATACCATAAACAATTTAAAAATCATTACAGAACACTAGGTTACTATTAGAAATGTGTAGTAGGACTTTATTTCTTCACCATACAAAAACTGTTCTCCTGCATTCTCCACCTGCAATCTAAAGCAGAAAATAGCAAGCAACCTTATAGAAAATGGTCTTAGAGCAAAAACTCTTAGGATGCATAAAGTGAAATTATTGCTTCCATAAAATAAAAACCAAGGATCAACATTTACATTTTATTTTATGCTCTTTTTTCCACAGGCAGATTGTAAACAATAAATTGATAACTTTGCCTGTGCCTTTTGATACACCTCAGAAATTTAAGTGAGGTTTTGCCACACACATGATAAATGAATTAAGCCATTTATTAATTATCCAACTTTTGGATACTTGACCATCCCGTTGCTGTTGCACGACACAGCACCCCTACAAACGCTGCCTCTAAAAAGGCAATGTCTCCTTGCAAGTTCAAACTGCCACAGAAATGTTCCTTCTTCCTCCCCAGATTATTTTTCCCTTATTTCCCAGAATGACTCATCTACTGATGCCTCAGAAAGGGCACTAGTTTGTTTTACTCTAATGACATCTCATCATTCAAAATTCAATAGTTCTGGGATAGGCTCTCACAAAAGGACAAAAGAGATTCTCTACTTCTCTTAAAAAGGAGGTGATTAGTTTGTTGAGACTGCAAGGTGACTCCCGGAATATACTTTACTGATGAAAAAACTTGATGCAAACAAAAATACTTCTAGGGTGAGTATCTCTGCTTTAAATGCAAATTAAATTTCCATTATTATGGAAGCCCTTCGTTGTAAAATTAACAAAACTTCTGCAGAAAATGAAGTCAGAAACATTATTTTCTTCTGAGAACTCCAGTGAAAAAATGAAGCAGGCTTACCTCCTTGTATGCCTTTATGAGGTAATAAAGTATCAGAAATAAGGGGTCCATTGGTGTAACAAACAGCAGGCGCCCATCTAAGTGACGGAGATATAAAAATAAGCTTAGTACCAAGAGACACAATATACTGACCTTTTTTTTTTGTTTAGGATCTTTTTCAGGAGTGTGTGCAAGAAGAGGAGAAATTTGGGTTTTTTTTTTAAGTATCCCAATAAATAAGCAGGAAAACAGTATTTGTGATTTCATACTAAAAATACAGAGAGAACTCAATTCTCAACCCTGCCAAACCAAGGCACAAGTTTCACTGCAGGCCTCCTGGCTTCAAGCACTCTTAGTTTTGGCTTTTTCTGGACTATATTAAAAACAGCAGAATTGAAGCTGCCCTCTATTGGCAGATTTGGGTGTAGCAGAAACTTGTTTTGGGATACCAGATATATGCAGTATACTCCACCTCAAACAACGGGCAAGGCAACAGTGTGAAGGCAGAATAGGTAAGCAGGGGAAGAAAGAATTTCAAGAGCTAGTTAAGTTAGAACTGTCTCTCATCTTTAAGGGGAGAATCTGCATGCAGTCTTCTCATAGAACAAAATAAACTTAAATAGATCAGAAAATATGGCTCAGTGTGTTGGATTCAAAGTTATACACAAAGGAAGAACTTGGTCTCCCCCATTGAAACAGACACCTCTGCCCATCTGGAGCTCATTGCAGGACAATGGCTTAGTCAGGCTTTTTGTATAATTGTAGATAATTGGAAACAATGTAACATCAAGGAAATTCACTAATGAAGCCCAATAACTGATGACAATTTGACATTAATTAGCAAATCCAAAGCAAATAAATGTTTTTTTTTTTTTGCTTTAAATCACATGATTAAGAAAATTAAAGAAAAGGAAATCCTATTGCAATGGCCCTAAAACTAACAAAAGATGGGGGGGGAAGAACGTGGTTTGAACAAAGCTGATACCCAATCTGACGTCTGTATTACTAACATGATGCATTGCATGAGGCAAAGCAAGCATCAGGACTACTTACAAACATAAAAGCTTTGATAATAAAAAAGGAGGGAGAAAAAACACTACCCACTTTCTCAAAGCTTCCATTAAATGCTTTCCACTGTACCGCAAAGAAGAGGCATTTTTATTTATTCTAAAGATGTCAGACTCACTATAGGTGTATAAAGACCTCTGCCCTTCTCTACAGATGACAAGATAATTTGCTTTAACTGCAAACACACAGGTTTTTTTGTGTTGTTCTTCCCCTGGCTGTTTCAGAGATGCAGTAGCCCTAACATTCAGAAACAATTCTCCCCTCCCGTATCTTTTAAAGCAAACTGAGGCAATGATTCCTTAAGGCAACTGTTTCCCAAGGGCCAAAAGAGACATTAGAAAGGGAGGGGGAGAATACAATGTGGACGTAATTGGGAACAGTGAGCAGACCCAGTCTTTTGGCTCACCCCCAGATGGAGCAAGGAAAAGCTCACAGACAGACCGCTCGCGTTGCTTTATGCACCTGCAGAGGATGTTTAAAAGTTAACACACGCTTTGGGATAGTACCATTAAAGAATGCGTATGTCTGGTGGGGTTGCTTTTATTTATTACTATAAATGGTCTTTTTTCTAGTTAAAAAAGGGGCAAAATAAATATAGCCTCATCTCCTGAATTGATACGTATTGCTTGGTCTATGGACATGCTGGTAGAGAAACACTACTCCAATGACATTCTTACTGATAAAGGATTGTTAAAGCTGTCACAAGCAGCTGGGTAAGTCTCCTCATTTTCAGAAAGGTGAGCTAGGATCAGAGAATGATGGGGATGGTATAGATGAGCTCACCTCAGACAAAACACTGAAACGGCACCTTTAGACAGCAGGCCTATCCTGAAATCCCAGCACTCACACGGGGAACTACAAAGGTAATTAAAAGAAAGCAAGACTATACATTCCAATGCTCTGCTTAGCTAGCTAAGGTCTTCCAGCCCTTTTTCCATCACATAGGATAACACTTATTTTACTTACACTGAGGACTTGCTGGTCTGATTGACAAGGCAAGCTAAGTATTTTATGGCACTTCAGTTTAAATACAATTGAATGACTTTCCCCTTCCACCCCCCCCCCCCCAAAAAATAACAAATGAACATCTGTCTAATTGAGCCTGCCAAAGGCAGCCATTTAAAGAGAGACCACAAAGCCCCCAGCCCTGGTTAAATCCAGATGGCAAATGAGTGTGTCAGAAGGTGGGGATGTGATGCAGCATGCCTCAAACAACTAAGAAAAACACCTGTAAATTTACTAGAAGAGAGAGGGAAGGTCTGTGTATGAACATTAGTTACAGTTGGGGGAAGGATACGTTATATTACTCACCTTGTTGAACAGTCTGACCTATAAACCAGGAACGATATTCCTCATGAAAAGCTTTTACTTCAAACAGCTGCTGTGCACCGCTGTTGAATAAATAAAGGGTTGCTTCCCCTGTTGAAAAGAAATCTGGTTTGTGTTTGTAAGCTTTCACAAAAATCAAAAGAATACCCAATACGTCTGAAGAATGTGCCTTATATACATACAGACACACAAACATACACACATTCTACATAAACTCACTACAAAGAAAGCTCAGACAAAGAAAACTATTATATACAGATGTTCATTTACCAGCTCTATAAACCAAACTGAATTTGAATCAATAAATAAGATGTGTGAATAGTTCATCTTACAACACAATGCCTTTGATCCAAACCCAAAGCAAAATCTATCAAGGAATCAGCTTTTGTCTGTAGTGAAGGGGGAAGGTGGAACATAAAGTTCCCTCTCCTTCTATCATGTTTGTCTCCAAGATATCAGACTCTGGGTTAGGGGAACAACAGTCTCCAACTTTCAAGTGACAATTTGAAATTATTTTTTTTTTTTTGTGCATCAGAATGGATTGCTGATGATTCAGTATGGGTAAACAAATAAGGTGAACAAGGAAGCTAGAAGAAGTTGCTTCAAAGTGCCTATCAGAATCATGACAATTTGGAAAGGAAAAGGAAGGCTTTGTTTTATGCCACCCCATAGCACAGCTCTGCCGTTTCACATCAGTTCTGGGTGATAACGAAAGGGCGATGACTGCGCTGCAAACAGGACTGGCAGTTTCTCTATCTAAAACAAGGAAGTTGCCAGAAGTACAGAAGGAGCCACTGAAATTTGGTCAGGTGAGTTCTGTTGGCTGGACTGGTCCTGTCTTGGTTATCAATCCATCTTCGAGAGAGAAGAGCAACTACAACATGGCAATCCTGCTCAGAGCACATAAATTGCAAAGCTGCCCTGACCTGCAGATCGTGGGCTGGCTCAACCAAGTCTCAGTGAGCTGAGCTGACATCAGCACTGCTGTTCTCAGTCTGCAGAGATCCTGAGGCACAGAGGGAGGTCAGCTAAAATGGGCGCATATCCCTGCCCCAAAACTCCTCATAATGCATTTTTCCCCCTTTATCCAAAAGGCTAACCAGATGTTTAGCCTCACCTAAGGATAGAGTTTCAGCTCTCTGATAGTTTTTCTTTTGGGGAGGAGAGAAGAGTAGATACAAGGGGGAGCAGAGATTTCAATCATTACCATGTGCTTCTCAACAAGGGTCTACACCACAGTTTGATCAGCACCAGACATCAAACTACTCACAGAAGTGCTCACTGAACAACTTAAGACTCCTACTAGTGAGCGCACTAGCCAAATGTGAGCTATGATATCTTCGGAAAGGGACCACTCCCATTGCCTAACTCCAGCTCCTTAATTTATTTGCTTATGTTAAAAGGACAGTCACCATAGGTTCCCAACAGTGTCATTAGGCAGAAACCTTAGGGGATGGAGAGACTACCTAGGCAGCTTTGCTCACAACTATACCACTTCAATTAGTTGCTTAAGTCTTGCAATATGGTTATTTCCCTTCTTTTAGTTCAGCACTTGAAAAATGCTCCTCGTGGTACTTCTGAATTGCAGGCTGAGCCCTAGTTTATAGTCTTTGTGACGGACAGAAATTTTGTCCTTTTTACCTGTCTATAAAAAGGACCATACATACTTTTATTTAATAATGTGGTTAGCATGAATTCTATAGTGTGCGCCGAGTCCTTCAGTGCATATTTATACAATATCTGGCATCAACAATTCATCTGCTAGACCCAAACATAAGGAAAATACATTAATAGGGTGTTCTCAGTCCTTCCATTTTCAGACCCTATACTTATAATAGGCTACATAACTGAAAGTTATAGGGTCTATAAATAAGCTCCTGTAAATTCTAAAGGAACACACCCAAGCAATCATTGCACTTTAGGTTTTCCCCAGAAACCTTCCCGGAGATCTCTATTTCTACAAGGTAAACAGATCTCTTCTTCCACAGAGAAAATCAAAATAATATCTATGCTTTTAAAAACATAACAAATTAGAAAGCAAATGTAATGGAGCAGGTGGAAAATATCCATGCCTGTATGTTCCCACTGTAAATATAAGCAATCAAAAAATAGATATCATGATAAGTGATTTCCCATTCTGTATCTATTGTTTTTCATTATTTTTCTCATTCAAGAACAAGTAAGAGTTACTATGACATTAAAACGTACCTGAAGACTTTAGTTACAAGCATATATAAATATTAGCAGTGGATTTCAAAACAAAAACATACAACTTAAATCTAGAGAAAATAAATGACCTTATGAAAAGAAAAAAACCCAGCATGAAACATGTTTTTCAAACAAAATATGTTAACCCTAACAATGGCTCGCTGCAAGTTTCTATTACAGTATCTCATACTCCAATTATTATATTGCTCATATAATTATAACAAATCCTTGACAAAAATAACAACCTGACTAGAAGAAAGTAACTGTGGGATGGTAGTGTCATTATATCACTAGCATTTGCCAGTCTTTTCAATGTATTTTGAATTCAAATTGCCTCATCATCTATGAACAAAAAAAAAGAGACACCACCACTTGCACCAGGGAAAGAAGAAAATTAGGTTTAAAAATGAAAAGACTCAAAAGGCTTGGGAAGTATAACTGAATCACTTCTTCTAACTCTGACTATTTATTTTATAGCATAAAATGAATGCTATGAAGCCCAAATTTGGATTAAAAAAAAAGCCCAGGCTCAACACCCAACACTGTAAGCTCCCCAAAACTAATGCACTCAAAAACAGAACTTAAATTACACCTCTTTTTTGTGCTGCCAATATTTCTGATGAATAAACAGTTCAACCAATTAAAATTATAAAAGAAATCCTAAATGTTTGCACAGCATTAACTATCTGGCATCACCAGCAATATCTTTGGCATGTAAGACTCAGACTATCATCATTATTTCAGCTTGCAAAATATGAATCTTTTGGTGGCACAAGGAATCAACCAGAACATTAACAGGCTCACATCATAATTCCAAAACTTGCCTGTGCTTGGATTGCGCAGTTTTGTAAACAAAGGTTCACTGTCAGGTGTCTTAGGGGGGTCAGTAGCAGCCTCTGTAGGGGGAGAAGAAAAAGTTATAGACTTGTAAATTGAGAAGTATTTCACGTTCTGCCATGCTTATCCAAGACACCCAGAATTAACTGGATTGACACTTCTGAAAACTCACGGATTTTCTGCCTAAAAATTATATGCCTCCACCCAAATTCATCCTACCTGAATAAGGCACCTAAATTATGATCCCAGACTTCCTGGCACTCTCTATCTGCCACAGGAAAGATACACACCTGGCCATGATTTAGCTTTTGAAAACCACTTCCCCTTAGAGAGCCTCAGGCAAGATTGCTCCTAAATTTGACATCTCATTTAAGTGAGATGAACTGATATATTGTCCTGATTAGTCACAAAGACCATGAGAATGCTTTGGTAAATTAGGCCAAGAACAGCGCAGACATAAAAAGTTAAAAGTGCAAAAGGCAAAATATCTGTGGGAAGAAACAGTGGTCCTCTAAAGCTTTCAGAAAGTCGGATTATGCAGGAATATGGGGCAGGAGTTGTCTCAGTGGTCGTTACTTATGTGAAAAATATGCACAGTTGTTTATCAGTTATGTATAATCTTGAAAAATAAAGAGTGTATTTAATTCCCCCCTACAGGAAAAAAGAAGCTGAGACAATACAGCACCTCTGGCTTAAGTCTCTAACAGTTGTTCTCTTTTCTGTGTCTTTAAGCTAAAAAAGACAAAAAGCAGAGACATAAAAGTACGAATTTGCTGTGAAATTAACAAAAAAATAAAATCAGAAAGGAAACAGCTCCCACAAGGATGCTGATTCAAGTCTGAAAAAAGCATCTATAAGGATCCCCGGTTAATTATATTCTGTCTAAGTTCTGTTTGTAGGGGAAGTCTAACTTCTATTTATGAAAACAACTTCCCACATCTGAGTGAAGAGCAACACGACAGCATCATCTTTCTTAGCTTGCACACTGCCAGTTCTGGCCCAATTCCTTTCATACAGGCATTCATCAGAGCAAGGAAAATTACTAAAGCATTTCTCATAAATAACCAGTATCCAGACCCCAGAGAACGGACTGACAGGGATCAGGTTGACGTTTGCATTATGGTGCTGCTTGAGGAAAGCAGAGAGAAGCAGCAGAGGTGGGCTGCACAGCTATCCACAAGGGAGGCTGTTGGAAGGAACAAAAGTGCCACATCGTTCTTCCCCTTTCAGTAGCACCCAGGAGGTTTGTGGAGAGGGAGATAGCACAGTTCTCTTTTATGGAAAACAGGGAAGTGGGAACCTCGAGCACAACAAAAAATAACTGTCCTTCACTCAGGGTGAAAGCCTATCCCCAACACAACTGGAAAGGACAGGTGGACTTCTCACAGGCTGTTCACTAGCACCTCAGCGGCAAAAAAAGCCCCAAATAACCCTCATCTTTCACCTGCACTCCTTGTTATTCAGTTGTGTCACACACAGAAGTTGCCCAGATAAAGACATAAGCCAGGCTTAAAAAGCAAGTGAGTTTTGTGATAGTGTTGGAGGGTAATAGTTCTCAGAGTGGTTCGGAGAATTTACGGTCGTTTTCTTCCCCTGAATTTTTAGCTGGGTCTTCAGGTGGGTTGAAAAAGTGCTTTAAAAAGTTCCAATATAAATTGAGGGTTTTTAATGGAAAAAGTCCGTATTTGCTAACCAGACTTGCTTCATGTGCTGATACATAAACACACCCAGTTGTCAAGCTACATTTGCCCTGGCAAAGGCAAACTTCAAATTTCTAGAGCTGTGTATATTTCAATTCTTGACCACAGTTTAACATTGGTGTATTTTTTGTTACTTTTTAAAACACTACAGTGATTAATGACAGTGAAAGAAACACACTGCATGTGTTTACTTTGATGTGTTTCACATGAACATGTTAAAATATACACACTAAATGTGAGTTTCAAAATTTAAAACAAAAAGCAAAACAAAAAAAACCCCAAAGGAACTTTTAGCGCTCACTCGCTCTGCTTTCTTCATGCATAGATTTATGAACACTGGGAATGAGTCCAGCTGAGCCCTAAGTTGCATCTTGTATAACGTGAACAATTAAGTAGACAATCCATCCTTAATGTAGCTGTTTTTAACGAAGTTCACATCTTTTATTTAGCTGATACGTTCTTTTCCTAACCTTCCAGTAACGCGCTGAATTTATCCATCCCCGTTAAGCCTGGAAGACACCTGCACGTAGGGAGCACTGGGTGTAACAAACCCAAGGGATGCAGTGTCCCATCCCTCCTCATCAATCCTCTGCCTTCCCAACCCAGACAACCTCTCTTCATCACTAAGGCTCGCCCCACGCTATCCCGGGCTCAGCACCCTCTGCTCTGCCCCTTTGGATACACATCCTGGCCCTGCAGCTGCCTCGGCTCACCCAGTAGCTCTTCCCCAGGTGAAGAGAAGCCCAGCTCTGCCCATTTAGTTCTGTGCTCCTCCCCAAGCTCCGCGGGGTTCATCGCCGCACAGAGGGCAGCAGCGACCAGACCCTCATGAGCAGTATATTCTGTCGCAGTATCGCGTGGTGTTGGGGATCAGACACTACACGTCACATTCTCCGCACAGCTGCCACAGAGGATGGCTTACCAGAAGGGACACACACATGCACACACACACAAGAAGGGAAGGAGTGGGCAAAGGCAAAAGTGGTTTCTCTGAGTTTCTTCTACCTTCAGTTTCCTCAAAATGCAGGCAATACCCCGCTCCATTTCCAGGGGCATGGGAAGTATATTTTTGTTACAGATTGGCTCTACTAAATGACAGTTGGCAGATAAAAAGAGGCAATTGGGAGGATGCCTGCCTGGAAAACTGGATGCAATATTAACGTGGCCTTAAGGGCGAAGAAGGCCCTATTTATCTGAATTTAAACACTTCACGACTAGGAAAATGCTGAGCAAGAGATTTTTGAAGTTAGGTGTCCAAACCTAACTTGTGTGTGTTCTGGCCTTTAACCAGGAAAGGTAACTGGATTTCTTTAATGTCATTACATTTATCAGTTCTTGTATTTGGGCAAGGATCTATTATAGCTAAATAAATAAAGACTTCTTAAAAAGCAATACTGTAGCAATTTTCTAGCAAAACTAAGAGTTAAACTAGGTTTTTTGGGTGTTTGTTTTTCTGTTTTGTTTTGTTTTTTTTTTTTTTCCAGTTTTACGATTCACATCCAGATAAGAAACAACCTTACAGAAAATAAGCAGACAAAAGGGACAACAGAGGAAGAGTTTTTTCATTAAATCCTAAAGGAAAACATCAGATGATTGCCACTGCAACAGCTTCCACAGCTCAGCCCTGAGAAACTTGTTCATCTACAAGAATAACAAATGAGAGAGGCAAGACCTTTCTGACTGAATATTATACTTTCTACCAACTGTCTTGAAGCTGCAAGCTGCAGGTAACACACAGTCCGTACAGGTCACCTTACTAACAGATGTGTCAGTACAGAAAGCTATTCTCCTAGGACAACATTCACTACAAGGAAGCAAAAAATTGATACAAGGGTACAGAGGGGTTCCAATCAATCCTGTCCCAAGGAGGCATCTCAATTAGCAAGCCACCCTCTAAATTGCCAGGGAGGACAGATGACAGGCACTTCCAGGAGGCAGCTGAACCCGCCTAAAGCCACCTGGATCATCATCCCCTGCAAGTGTACACCTCTGTCTCCACTGAGCTTACAGACACCTCCAGCAATGCAGAACGAATCCGGATGCAGCACCACTACAGCTATACTGGTGGAAGGAGATCTGAGGTAAGCAAGATGCAGGACAATAAATGCCAACACTGGGCTGATAGGTATGTCTACTTTCCTTAAGTTATAGTCTACTCTTCATTCACTATTAACCAAATTACACAAAGTCTGTCTAAAAATGTGGGTGATATATCCATCAGTTGTACTGGAGTCTACAGACGGAACCTCAGAATCCTGAAGCTGAGCGAAAGAGACTATAAAAGCTTAAACAAAGCTTTCCATTACAGAAAAAGAGAAAAGCCTATCGTATTTCGTGGAGGTCAGACATACAACCAGGCAAGTTCTATAAAACATATAAACAGAACAAAGTGAAAATGAACCAGCTGTCAAAGGATTTCTGGCAATAATTTCTTCCACAATGGATAGATATGAGGCACTAATGAATCTGGCCATTAAAAAACAAAAAAAAAGTGTTAGATGGTACAGCAACATGAATAAATTGGAAAAGAACATAAAACTCCCACTAAGATCTATGAAACTGTTATGGATGATGCAAGGTCTATTCACCTTTTTAAAAAAAAAAAAATTGCTTATAGAATACTATATGTAACAGACTAATATCAAGTTATATGGAATTCCCATGCAAAAAGCTGCCAGCCAAGCAAGCAAAAAGGCTGTAAATATCTGTCAATTGCGTAAGAGGAAAAAACCCTCTGAGAGCACAAATTTCCCTACCACCATCACCCTGCAAAAAACAGGATTATTTAAAAGTCTGGAAATATAAAGTTAAGATTTCATTTAAAAACAGATATTAAACCATACGTCACCTACACAAGTCTTTTCCATTCCCTTCTTAACTTCTACCCATGCACGAAAGGTGTGTCAGATGGAGACATTATGATGGAGCCCATTAAATGGACGTTTTATGGAAGACTTTAAACTAGGTAGCCTAAGGGTACAGATATGTTAGATCTAATAATAATTTTATTTATGTTCTTTTTAGAATCAGTCAACCCTGAAGTAAACGGTTTTAATTCAGTGCCTGTGTCCTCTGTCCTGCAGCATGCCCTGAAAAAAAGTCTAGTGAAAATTAATTAAATCCAGCACTTTGTATCACCCAAACTTCTGACAATTTTTATAAGTTGCAAGGTAATTAACTGTAAGCATAACGAATGAATTCAGGTATGCACAGACTGAGGATACAGTTTCACGAATGGCTTCAAATGACCAAAGATCACAGGTTATTGAAAAGTACGGTCCTGAGGTCCCCCCGCCTGCTCTCTCCCTCTCGCGCATCTCTGCTGCTTTCCTTCCATCAAAACTAGCCATCTTGTGGCC